TATCGATTGAAAATATCGAATAGCTTAAAAGACAAAGTGTACGAGTTAAGCGGCAATGAGAATAAAAATCATCGGTCAAAATTTATATTTATATACATTTTCAACTAATCGGCTTCTACTTGTATGAAAAAATTAAATTAATAAAATATTAAAGATTTTACAATTTTATTTATATTCTAAGAATTTTTTAATTATAATGAAATTTTAAGATCTTTTCATATAACCTTCTGTAGGTATTTAAATTTTAATAATTTTCAATGAAATTACAACGAATAAAACCATTGATAAAAATATTACCTTTTCAATATAAATACATAATTATTACTTCCTTATCTGTCATTTTATTCGTATTCTGATACAAACTATACATACTTATTATTACATACACACATACACACACACACACACACGCACGCACGCACACACACACACACACACATATATATATATATATATATATATATATATACGCATATACAAACGTGTGTACTCTCGAATATTATATTTGAAAGAAAAAGAAAATACTTTTGGGAAATCTATTATGCTCAATGTATAATGTATAAACGCCAATAAAATATGCACTAAGTAATTAAGTAGTGTAAGTAATGAGTCTTAGGCATAGTTTTGATTTCCGTATTAAAAGTTAATAGACGATCGTCAAAGAAGATTAAAGACTTGATGTTCGTGATGTAAATGATTTACGCTCGATGTGAAATATATTAAACTATTGTTGTAGAACAATCGAACATTGAATATGCTAATAGTATATAAACAATTTTTTATGTATATATGTAAAATAGTTTATTATAATGTTAATATGAATTATTAAAAGTGTGCTTACTATAATCATTTTTTTTTCCTTGTAATTTCATGAAAAATAAATATACCAGTGCCTGAACTTTTAATTATATTGTATAACTTAATGCTTAGAAAGTAAATTTGATCTATTTTTTTTTATCTTTACTTTTACAAATCTAACATAATAAATCTAATCCTACAACATCTTAGAAATGTGAAAGTATCTTTTAAAGTTAAAAAATATTTTCTTATTCACTTACTGAATATCCCTAATGATAGTTAGACAAACCATTTGCATTATAAAATTATTATATTACATACAAATATACAATACTCGGTGTAAATTTTATTCCTTATGTTACATAAGGGAATGATTTATAGAAACAAAGTTTTATCATTTTGACGCCAGCGAAAACTCATGTAATCAGAATTTTCATATAAAAAACGATTTTACACGTACAATAGAAACATTATACAGTAAATGGTATTAGTTATATATCTTAGTATGAAAAACAAAAGATTTAGTAAATTATGTTCAGCCATCTCTAATGAAAATTTATAGAAACAGCAAACATCTTTAAATGGACATGAAAGATATACATACGCATTATTAAAAAAGATAATTGACTTTTTCTATATTTAGATATAAAAGGAAAATCCATTAATTTTATTATATTATTTATTTCTTTTTAAGCTGATGGGCATGAAACGAGTTTTATAATTTTTCTATTTAAACAATAATTATCTTCTTTAAGATTCTTCTACATGGAAATAATGGAAATATTTCATTTAGTTATGTTGCATACAGAGAAAGTCCTAAATATCGTTTTATTTTAATTAAAAAAAAACGACGTTTCTGCAGCATTAATATTCCTATGGCCCATGGCTAAATTTAACTAGGGTGGCGCACGTTCTAATAATTACTTTGAATCGATGGGAATTCAATGTATCTCAAAACAGTCGTATCTCGAGGTATTTGCGCTTAGAAAAAGTTAACGAAACCTTAATTGTAGCGAACAAAATAAAGCAACTAGGAAAGAAACTTCTACTCCCACGTTGGAGCTCTTTTCCGCGAATTAGTTGGCAAGCGAAAATGAAGCTCCGCTCTGCACTCGACCGATCTGCCAAGCTCACCAAAGTATCCGCGCTGTCCTACTCGGTGCGTACTACTTGATTTATAAACCGAAAATGCTTTAAAAGTCAGCCCGAGAGAAGAATCGTGAAAGAAATATCGCGCAAAAAGACAATCAAGTGCTACTCGCGTTAAAGTTTCATTGGAATAAAAGTAACGTTTCTATAGTTCTTATCGCATTATAGATTTGAGGTCATCTTGGGAATCATCGTAAAAAAAAAAAAAAAAATAAAAAAAAAAAATAATAAATAACATCAATATTATTTATAGTAAATTCTAAAAGTGACTTGATATTTAAAAAATACAAACTAGTATTGAGAATTTTCAAATCTATGATTTAATGTTCAATTTTCTTATTGGAACTGTATTTCCATTGATATTAAACTTCACGTTTTTACTCGCTTGTTAACGAATACTTCGATTACTTACTTATTTAATTATTCAAGTACTATGCTATATGCAGTAGTATAAAAAGCGTTAGCCAAGCAAAAAATAATAAATTGAAAATCTGATTTTTAATTTAAATTCACAAAATCATTAAAGAGTCAGTCATTTGTGCTTGATCGCTCAGTATTTTTGAGAATCTATATAATTATTTTTAAATTATAAATTTTACATCCGAGTTGTTTATAACTTTAACTTTTATTTTTATCTCGATTGCCCTTAAATAATAAATATACTTGTAAAGATATTAGTCAAATTATTCATAATCAATTAATCATGTCAAATTTAAATTTATATACGAAAAGTTCATTTAACATTATAAGGTACTTTATTCATCATCTAATATATATGATGTTTATGAAAATTTACACAAAGAATTGTGTACTTTAAAATGCGGATTATGATTATTTTCAATTTGTCGGTGATAGGCTGAAAGGTTTTAAGACTTTTCAGAAATTGAACAAAGAGGCATCACTTTCCCATGTATTGGATATGTTATAGCTTGACAAATGTCTCTTCTTACACTGTTTCGGAGCTGCAATGTGTTACATTTTATTTTTTGGAAAAAGTAACCAAGGTTTACTATAGTTTGTCCCCTCCCTCCTTCACTCTCAGCGATTATGGAACTCTGGCTTACCTGTGATTGAGCATACTTGCATTTACTTGTAGCTAAAAATATATTATGCATGGAGTAATAGATATTGTAGGCGTGCGATGTAGATTCAAGTTGCCGGCATAATCGAATTATTTTAATTACTGACGTACATAGTGTGTTCGAATGAATAATAAATTTTCATTAACCAAGTTACCTGTATCTATTTATAAGGACTGGATATTAAAATTTGCAGATAATCACGTATTAAATTCATGAGATAAGACTGTGCGTATTATTTTAATTTTAATCAAATTTGAATTTAGAACAAATATTCTAATTAAAATTAAATATCTAATGAAAATAATATTATACATCTATTATTAGTTTGTACCTTTATTGCGATATTTAATAAGATTCGAATAAATGGTTAATAGAACGTGATTTTTTTAATTTTATTTAATATTTTGCGTATATAAAATATAATAAAAATTAAATTTTATTTAATAAAGTAAATTGAATAAGCATTCAAATATAAATGGCTTATGAATCTCCAGATATTAGCTTACTTATTAATATAACATTCTTTAAATTTTAATATATAACAATTTTTTAATTACATTATGTTAATTACAAAATCAGAAGGAATTATAATATATTTGCATATATTTATATGTGCCTGTTATCATATATCTCTATCTTTTTTCATTCTGATTTTAAATCGTGTTTCGTATATCTTCTCGCACTCACGAATTAACGTGTGATAATTAGTTATTTTATCAATATTACGACTTTTGTTTTTTATTTATATAGATACAGCTATGGAAGCTTTCGACTTTGTTTCCGATTTTCTTTAATCATAATATTATAGGAAAGATTTGTTAAATCATTCATCTCCGAAGAACTTAGACTCAAAAATTATTAAAGGGCTATAAAATAATTATAAATAAAGGAATAAATAAATAAAATTGAAATTGAAAAATCCATACATCAGTGATTACATAAACAGATAAATCTGGTACATAAATAAACTAAATAAACAAATACTTATTTCACCGTCGAATTAAATACAATTATCGATAATACCTCTATAGTTTACGTAAATTCATGTACTTTACAATGATTTTACCCCCTTGACGATTACGAATATATTGCTAATGATACAAATACATTAAGTTCATTTATCTACCTATGTATACAATTCTATGAGACTCTGATCTCGTAAAAGTATTTTTAGTAAATATTTATTTATTAAAGCCTGTATTTAATTATTATATAATAACGACGATAATAAAGTAATTAGCAAGTATTAAAACATACAATGTTAACGATAAACTAAATTAATATACTTTTTGTATGCATGATCAGGCAAAACATCCAATTTGTATATAATTAATAATTTAATTAAATTTAGGTCAATAATAAATAAAATGATAATAAATTGCGTATTTATAGTATTATGTACTTATGTATGTATATTAGTATATTTTACATATTACTTGATTAAGACGAGAATATAAGTGATTAATTGAATGTCACGTTAATATTGTGCATTTAAAAACTTAAATATATTAACACGTCTGACTAGAACGTAATACAAACATAAGTTTAATGCATATGAAATTCATATGAAATTTGGATATTTTTCCAGTACTTAACTCCTATGATAAGTCAGTCGTTATAGTTATTTATAAAATACGTGTGAGTAAATAAATCTACCGTTAATCAACTGTTAAACAAAACAATTTCGTACTCAAATACGTAATGAAATACATATTTAGTGGCCGATATCCAATGTTTTAGGCAAAATATTTAAGTAAAAGAAATTCTAAAACGAATGACATAACGCGTCGTAATCTCGAATGAAGAGGGCAAAAGTACTGAAATCGCTAGTCAAAGCTTTCGTACTTATTTGCACTAAAAGTCACGTACTCCTAATCCCTAATGGAAAGGGAGTTGAAAGAAATCTTGAGCCTCCTCGCGTTTTAGCATGCCCCGTCCTCAGACTTATGCAGCATTTGCTTTCTGTTACAGTGTGAAAACCGATATGGGCGCCGAGGGGGCGGTATCGCGTCTCTACATCGCCAACGCCAATAAAAAGGACAGCGGCAACTACAGTTGCGCATTAGCGGATGTTGCCGCCACAACTGTGTCCGTCCACGTTTTAAACGGTTAGTCATACTTGCACTGATCCTATTTTTCTGCTAGACTGTAACAGCCTATTGGCGCTATTGTTTGCAAATAGATGGTGAATTATTTGGCTTTGGTTCATTGGTTAATGTTAGCCAACAAGTGCAGGAATAAAAGCAACGGTAGAGGCAACTACTTTCTAATGTAATGGCGGACGTTTGTGTAAAATGTGTACATAAGTCGTTGCTCACAACTATCTGGGCATTGTATTATTTAAAGGAATGATTTTTATATTTTCTTTCATTATGGTACGAATTTTTTTTTTTTTTTTTTTTTAATTTGTATATGTTGACAAGAACGATATATATTATAAAACGAATTAAACTGTAAAATCATAATAAAATGTAAATACGTAATAGCTCGCTTATTTATATAATAAGTCTGCCAATTGTCTTTGCAGCTTATTTTTCATTGAAATATTTATTTATGCAAATAAATAAAAGACATATTTTTCAATATGCAAGAGGAACGAATTCGTAAATCCGTAATACAAAAGTGGATAAAAATGAAATTATTTTTATAAATCTTACAGGACTTTTTCGCATAAATGCTTTTTCACAAGGTTTGTTAGAAATTTAAATAAAAATATTTTACTTTAGATTTACAGGATATAATTTGCAGTTTCCTTACTCAGAAATATAATACTATATATAATAACTATGAATAAATAGATTGATTTTTGTATTGTTTGTTGTGATTAAATTGGGAATTTAAATTAGGAATAATCGTATAAAATATAGATAGATGGCTAAGTTTTATCATTTTACACTGAATTTAATTCTATCATTACATTATTAATTTATGAATTTAATAAAACAATATTAAATTCTTATATATAGACTTATCATAGAATTTTATGAAAACATAGTTAAATTGGCATTTGTCATTCTATCATTTAAGTCCACTAAAGAAATGTATAAGTAAGCGAATTGTATTGATTTTAGGATATTCGTTGCTCTGGTAAAATGATCTAAGTATTTCAGTATTAAAATAGAACTTTTGTATGAAAATTAAAAATAAATTTATACACATTAATTTGATATTAATATCTATATGACATATTCATAAATGATTTAATATAAAAATTTGTTGAAATGCGTAAACTTTAATTATATATTATTAGCTGGAACTGCAGCATATAACATAAAATAGGAACACGAAATATTTCAGAACTTAAATATGTAAAATACGGAGGATGTTAACGAAAAGGTTTTACCGAAAATCAAGTTCCACCTTTACTCGTGTGGACCAAGGCATTATCATATAAGATAACAAATCTCAAGTCGTTTATCTCAAGTCCCTCATTCTTTCTCGTAAACTCCATTTAGCTCATTCAAGGGACTTGGGAAAATAGAATTTCGTAGGAAAAAAAACCAATTTTTTTAAGTAAACATAGATGTCAGCGGCATTACCTACAAAGAAATTGTTTTTTTTTTTTTTAAATTATAATGTTGAGATACACATATATATAAGCAATATAAGATATATAATCTATTTTAAAATATAATTAGAAAATGCTTCGTGATATAAGAATCTCTTATTCAAATATTTTCAAAGATCCAATTACATTATTGTTTAATTTGTATTATCTGTTAAATTTCATACTCCTATATTAAACTAAACAAAATTATATTCAAGCAAATTATTCAAATTATTTACAATTAATGTAAATCATGCGTATAACGAAAGATTTTTTATTTTAGTAAAATACTTTTTTATATGATTAAATATCATAGCTAACACGATTTACTATAGTAATCATTTATTTCAAAAGTGAATTTGGTTATAAAAATGTGTATTACAAAACTCATTGCTTTTTACCATTCATCAGTTTATTATAAATTGACGAATGAGCTTAAAAATTTCAATCTTATTCATATATTACCCTTGCTGAATTTTACAAAATGGATATTAGCTTTATCATTTATTTCCAAATGAATCAAATAATTTTCTCAATAAGATTAATCCATCGAACAACGTTCAATTCGACATGGGTCTCCAGAAAAGGTTACAACATTGGAAAAATCACAACAGTTTAATTTTATTCAGATGACTTTTGTACATTAAAATACGTAACATAGATTTGTGAAAAAAGTTTTACCTATTTATAGTTCGTTACTTTTTGCTTTTAACTTGCATAATTCTAATTTAATTTAATACATTTTATGAAATCGAAAATTATCAATACAAATTATAATAGAAAAAATTTATGACAAATATAAAAAAAATCCAATAATACATATAATGAAATGTTACGATCTCAAATAAATAAAGATTAAATATATTTTATATAATATTTTAATCTACATAGATTCACCTCTTTATTATCTTGCGAATATGGTATCATATTTGCACTGTATAAAGGCTCTTTGATATTGAAATATAGATTATTATATTTCAACTTTATCTATAATTATTTTAATAATCTAAAAAATTTCAAGTAAAAGATTGTTTGCGTGCCTTGGTTATATTTTTAATAAATGTGAGGTTAGTAATTTTTCATAAATATAAACAACTTGAGTGAGAAGATCTACATTACCTTTTATGAAAATTTTAAAACTTTCAAGACTTTGGAAAGTCAGCATTCAAATGTCAATTTGCCTCATATGGCTGTTTTATTTTATGAAAAATTGAATTATCGTACGTAAACTTATAAGAATAAGCTGAATGCGATTAAAACAATGATTTATTCCTGAAAGCTTCGGCTATATAAGTGATACATTGTAATTTAGTACAATCTTATTGTCAGATAAATATAAATTTAATTTAAAAGTATATCAAAATACGAAAAATTGTAGAGTGGAAAATAGTTAAATTCTAAATAGTCACAAGAACGGTAAATTATACATTTGAAACTCAATGAAATAATAAAATTGTTTATCAATATACTGGGATAATTAAAAAAAAAAAAAGAAAAAAAAAATTATTAATAAAATTATGTATATATAATTAATTACATTACATTAGATGGGAGAAGGTTTTAAATTAAATTACCTTTTTATTGGATAATGCGGCTTAATGATTCTGGTAATATTACAGTTTTTATTTCAAAGATTCACAATGATCTTGGAGTAATGCCAAATTAGTTAAAAAAAAATCTTATTTTATATGATAATTGTTCGTAAATTATTCAGTAAGATTAAAAATATATAAACCTTGAATGAAAAGGAGGATCAGGTAAAAATGAAAAAATTATATCCTCAATTAAATAAACAATTTTATAATTTATACAAGTAATTGATAAATTAAATAGATGATTTACAATAGCACTCTAAATCATATGTTGTTTGTAATAAATAGCAAATTTAGTGTTTTACTAGTAATAATTTAATGTTGGGTGGGGGGATTGGGGGGGGGGGGAAAACAACAAATGTATTAAATATTGTTAAAAAATTCCAAGTAAAGATCCAAGTAAACTTTTACAAATAAACTATAATATTATCCAATAGAAAAGCAATACCTATTTTTTATTAAGTTTCATTATTTCAAATTTATTATCTTTTTCTATTCTGTATTAATGTAATGTTGTACCAAATGTATAAAATGATTAATTAACAAGAAATGATTTAATGGTAAAGAAATAAAATTAAAATTTAATATTCATTTTACAAATTTGAAATTTATTTTACCATATTAGAAGGGATACGATGAAGATATTAAATAACAAATGTACAGGTATATGTAAATAATTATTATTTTATGTATGAGTCTATATTTAAATATATTATTTCGTGTACGAAAATTCAATTGGCAATCAAGCTAAAGTTTATTATGTCGAATCCTTGACAAAGGAATGAATATCAAATTCCTACAAAATCATTCCGTCATGAGATAAATCATTTCAAGGATCTAAGAATTATTGTTATCTACCTTCGCCTCGTCTTCTTTCATTTGTGCTTCATGCAGTCAAGCTAATAATGTCCATATCATTTTCCACTACTTTGCTCGATTGGTAATTGATTTTTCTGGCCTATTGACCGCTACCGATAACCTCATTACATTACATTGTGAAGAGAAATGCCTCTTATTCTCTCTTTGTAAAGTTTCGAAGGAAAGTAGTAACATTCGTGGAAGAAATATACTATTATATACATAAGCAATATCATAGCAATTTTCTTATTCAATTTTTATTAAATTTCAATTTGTGCAATTCATTCAATTCCATTTTGTAGTTTACAATTTTTCAAACTTTTATTTGCAATAATTAATTTACCACGGACAATACAATTGTTTTTATTTAAAACTATTTAACAGAATAAATTAAAATTTAATTAATTCTTTAATTGTCCCATTACTCATATAATATCGGCAAGAATAAAGCATAAAAGATATATAAGTTAAGCCCTATTTTGTTCCTCAATAAAATTCAAGGACTGTATTTTTATATTTCTATTGTTGCTACTTTATAGAACTACTTTTTCTAAACCTATTTCATTTGCAACTAAAGTTTCTTTATGCACTGAAAGTATGGAAGCTACTTCTGGATAATATATATACGTCTACTCGTTTTTATGTCGAACGACAGAAAATGTAAAAGCTTGAATGCAAATAGCTTCTGCATTGCCTAGTATAAGACTTTTTGAGTGATTTAGTGAGAGTGAGAACGTATAAAATTTAATGTAAAGGAATTTAAAAGTGATTCTGCACCCACATAAGAATTTATAACTAAGAAATTGAAATATTCTTAATAGCAAATTGAAATTTTTCTTTAGCATTTTTTATCCAGCTTGACAATTTCTAAAATATAAACATGTAATTAAAAATTTTATAGGAATGATTATAGCGCAGGAAATAAACTAATTAAGAAAAAGATTTTATCTACGCAATAATAATAAAAATAAAAAATTTTACAACAATTTGAAATTAATAATGCAATATTAATAATATAAAATTTAATTCATCTAAAAAAATCTTTAAATTACAACGTCGATATATCGTAATTTCTTATAATTTAATTTTTATGATTATTATTATAAGCAAT